TCGACAAGCTCTTGGCGGGCTTGCCCGAAGGCCACTTTGTCGTGGGCGACGCCGCCTATGGGGCGTCCGAGCGCGTCGTCGTCCCGTTCCCGGGGACGAGCCTCTCCGCAAGCCAAGACGCGTGCAACTACTACGTGTCTCAGTGCCGGATGGCAATCGAGCAGACCTACGGCATTCTGGTGAGCGTTGTGGGCATGGCAAAAGTTGTAGTTGAGTCCGCGCATGCAATTGGGTGAGTTGGCGTCCTGATGTTAGAGGCAACTCGTGGTAAAGATCCTCGCGATGGGGGAGTGCGTGATGTCTGGTGTGATGTTGTCACAGAGCGCGGCGCATCCGTGCCACCATCTTTTCATTTTGATGTGGGCAATGCATATTCATGTTTGAAGGGAGCAACCGGGGAAGTGCATATGGAGCCTACAGCAGTACTACATGTAGTGTCTTTTTTGTTATACCCCTTGTGTGCATATTGTTTTGTGTTCGACCCTCCTTCCTTCGCGCGGCGCTAGACGGCTAGGGAGAGACTGAAATCAAGTAGGACAGGTGCACACGTGCATTGCTGCTGGGATAGTTGAACCGGGAGGGTGGGACAAGGAGGCAGGCCGCCTGAATTTTGGATTTGGGCTCTGAGTTTGCCATGATGGTACGTTTTTCCCCTTTGGTCTTGGTTTGCAATGACGGCCTACAGGTCAGGAGATGGGGCATCCTCTGGCGCCCCATGGAGGTTCGCATCGAGAAGTTCGAGCACGTGGTGAACGCCGTCGTTCGCCTGCACAACTTCTGTCGGGATCGAAAGGTGGACGTCCCCACGGAGAACACGGGGTCTGCGATTCCTCCGCCCGAGGTCGCTTTTGACGACGACGGCCTCATCAGCAGCGACTACTTCGAGGCCGTTCCAGTGCGTACCGGGCGCCCGGTGAAGGACCAGGCTAAGGCGTCGAAGCCGAGGGAGGCCATCCGCAAGGAGCTGGAGGTGGCCGGCTTGATGAGGCCAGAGCACAACATCGCCAGGAGCCACAAACGCGCAAGTTAGAGTGCTGTCGGAACCTTAAACTTGGCAGAGAGGGAGGGGAGGTCGAGGGCGAGAGCGGGAGTGGGGGGCAAGAGCGGGGTCGGAACCGGCGGCCGACGTGGGGTGTGTGTATCGCGGGGATCGGGGTGAGGGTCATGTGCGGTGGTGTCTGTGTGTTGTGTTGTGTTTTGTTGTGTTGTGCATGTGTGTTTTTCCCCGTGGTTTGAAGGCGGCATTGTTTGGTGGGCGTTTGTTCGTCTTGCGTTTCTTTTTTTTTCTACGTGCTGGGTTAGGATCCGACTAACACGTCCTCCCGCCATCGAAGGTGTTTTTTGTCGAAGCGGTCTACCTCGTATTCGCGGCCCATTATTGTAGTGTCTTTGGGCGTTCGACGTGGGACTACCTAGCTGTCACCGTACACTGTTTCCTCGCCAAGGTTCGCTTCTGATTGAAACTGCCTTTTGGGAAGTATACGTGATTGTGGAACTGTGGATCGGGGCCAACGTGCCGTTGAATTAGCTGGCGCTTGTTTTATTGAGGATGATGTTGCCTAAGAGAGACCGTTTGAGGACGACCGTAAAAGCACTATTGGTGATTTACGAGCGTGAGCGACAAGCTCTAAAGCTCTCCCGGAGGGGGGTTCGGTCCTCGCGCACGCCCCCATGTGGTTGCATCTGTGTAACCACGCCACTCCTGCCCTTGCCCTGGTGCATTCCTCGCACAGCAGTAGTAGGCGATCAGAGTCGGCTTAGACAACGGTACAAGCAATCCCACGGAAAAAGCTGCTTCCCCAACAAACCGGGCAACCTCCAACAGAGCCGCACTGTCCCACTTCCATGCTATTCTCGGACATCAAATATCTCCGGTGTCTGTAAAAAAAAACACACACACACACACACGCTAAGAAGAGTAGCCTCTCACAGGACCTTTCCACCCAGCAGAGCACAAGCAAGGTCTCGGTGATAATATGATCCTCTAGGACGGAACTGCTGTCATTTTGACGCATCCGTCATTCCAAAACATGTCACAATGTTAAACGTCTGGAAATGATAAGAGGATCCGCAGAACCTTGAACCAAACATGAGAACAACTAAACAAATGTCCTCCTTCGAGGGAAAACCCGACGTGCGTGAAAGCATCGCAATGCCCTGTCATAATACTGTAGCTCCACTTCTTGCTGCTGTTTAGCCAAATCTGAAGGAGTCGGAGGGAGTTACAATATTTCCGGAAACACTCCGAATATTTCATCACGTGTGCGATATCTTCGCCAAAAGGGGGAAGGAGTCTCGTCGCTTGCCGCGTGAAGAATCGTTGCACCTCACACTCATAAAAAAAACATGCATCACCTCCCAATGCCATGGTTGACAGGAGTACGCGGACCTTATGAAATCAATCTGAACAAAATCATATGTGGTTGTCCGACGAGCCATGTGGGTTGTTCAACACTTGGCGAGGTCAACAGCAGTCACAAAAAGGCCTCTTTTTTCGTGCCCACGTACAGCAGTAGTTTCCACCCACCCCAGAATCAGCAAAAAAAAAAATCGGTTGGGAAAGCCAAGTCCTTGATTCCCCCGGGAAGCAACTATTTAAGTGGGAACAACCTACTGTATCAAGTAGCTACGGAGCAACTTCCAAGCGAAGTGACTCTTCGCCATGTCCGGGCAGGTATTGCCCCCCCAAGATTTCTTGCTCTGGTGCATCCCTCTCCACAAATAGAAAATGAGTAGATAATGAAAAATAACTGGTGTTGGCGCGTGGTGTTGCGTTTACTGAACGGTTCACCCCCGCGCAACCCCCATGCCGGCAAACGCCTTTGCGTAGAACACAGATCAAAGACTCCCCCCACGTTTGAAACTTCAAAAACACAGCATCCCTCACGGCTCGGGGAGCATTCAACATGTGCGCTTACATTCTGTTCTCGTCCTGCTGTTGCCGCTCACTCCGAAACACACACGCCCCACTGCCCCTGCGCCCCCGTGTGGACTGTTACGGCAACACCCGCGCAGTCGCCCGCAGGTTTCCAGCCAGGGTGCTCCCACCAAAGACTGTATCCCCCCACCATCCATCCCCGCCTCTCGCCCGCGCAACCAGTACTCAAGCCCCACCCCCGTCGCCTGTACGCGCCAAGGCCCGTGCCATCGCCGGCAAATCATCCACGGGCGTGCGCCCCGGAAGCCCATGGAGATCCTACATCACATGGACCGTTCCTCCTTCGACCGCTGCAGGCGTAGATGGCGCAGCAGGACTCGATAACGGTGGGGGCGCGGCCGCGGCGCTCGATGATGCCATAGCCGCCTCGTCGCTGCTCTGCTCAGCCCGTGCCACTCGCGCTTCAGCGGCATCCAACAATTTCTGATATTTCTCCCGCAAAAAGTCCGATGATGCAGAATCGACCTTTGCTTGGAGCCTCTGAACATCGTCGATGAATCCCTCCATGGCAAGGTCCTTCGCTCGGTCCTTCTCTATATCACCGATCGCAGGTTTGTCTCCCCGTTCTTCCTGCTCCGCTGCTTTGCGCCACAAGGCGATCACTTCCTTCGTGTCGGCTACCAGCTCCGCCCTGTCGTCGGAACCCGTCTTGGGTTTCTTGTGCTTGCGAGAGTTGGTGTTGCCAGAGGAACGGGCGGGTGTCGCCTCACCTCTCCCTCGGACCCCGGGTCCACCCGGCACGCTGCTGCCTGAGCCTGGGTGTCCATCGGGGAGGACGATATCGCCGGGGCGGTATGTCTCGTCGTCGCCTCCGCCGGAGAGCTCGATACCGTCCTCCCAGAGCATTGTCGGTAAAGAGCCCCGCATAAACTGGAACGGATGACGGGCGTTGACGAATCCCCCGTCCTGAGTTGCGTCCGCACCGGCCCCACCACTTCTTTGCTCGTTCTCCTTGAATTTCTGATGTGCCAAGGAGAGAGCGAAGAAACGGTCCACGTTCGTCGGAAATGGGATGGGAACAAAGCCGTGAGTCTTGAGTGGTGAAATCTGATGTCGCTAACAATCTTTTCTGCATTCCACGTGGTACTTGTGTTGGGGCGTCAACGGAAAAAGGGAACGACATACACACAATGGCGCAAGGCAGGACGGGAAAAAAACTTGTTTCACCCAAAAAAACTTGGGGGATAAGCGCACCCCACGATGATACTGTAGGTTGAGGTCGCGAGGGCCCACAGCTTAAACCCAACACAAGAAGAAATACACACACAAAACGAAGGATGCTCATCACTGGAATATAAAGGCAACCCGTCTACAGTGATGGTTACATCGACCTCACACCTCGCCAAATTTCTAGCTTGACTGCTGATGCACGCACAGATATCCCAAGACGAGCACTGCAGACCGACAAAATACGAAGACGTCCTGCATCCTGTTCCTGCATCCTGTGTAGCCACGGCAGGACGACGCTGCCACCTGCAGAATGAACACGAGAACACCGCTACACTCACCGTGTGCTTGCCCCGTACTTCTTTCAGCCAATTGAAACATCTCAGTTGGAGATCAGCATAAAAGGCGCCCTCATCGCCTTTGAATTTCCCCCTGAGTTCCTCCTGCAGCGACTTAGCCGCCCCCTCTAGGTCCAGCCGCTTGAGGAGAGACTTCAGATGCTCCGATGCGAGCTCGTCTTTGGAGTGATCGTTGGGTACTGAGAGGGGGTTACCGTTGCCGTCGCGCCAGGTGGGAGTCGCCATCGCCCTGGCAACCCGGGCGAAAAACCTGTGCTTCGCGCCCGTCGCCCGTACGTCCAGTTCGGTGCGCGCTGTGCCCTCCCCACCCCCCCTGAAGCACATGTAGTCGTCCTTGAACTCCGGGTGCAAAGTTAGGCACACCAGCCGACAGCATAGTGCCTGGGACGAGTTAGGTGTCGGCTGACCACTTTGTCGACTACGCCGCAGCTGCTTCTTCTTCTCCGGCGTAACGCCGCAGCGGATGCCTTTCCACTCAGGCTCTACACCAAGACTTGCGCGCCACTTCATGCGACCCGTCAGTGCGTCGATCAACTCCTGTTTGCTTGCATTCGAAATTTGTCGAAGCTCTTGTTCAGGCAGTGGACCAAACTTCAACGCATTCCTCCGGCCAGCCTCCCGCGTGGCCTCCTGCCTCAAACTAGGGAGGGGCCAGCAGTCGAACAAAGGTGGCTCTGTACGAACCTCCTTTCCCGCGGTCGCTGTTGTATCACGAGTTGGGGATGCACGTTGCTCGTTCCCACTACTGGGCCCTCGAGGCGGGGCTGCGCCAGGCGTGGTGGAAGCCGTCGGCCTGATCGTCGCAGCCGATGGCGCTGCCGACGCGCAGCCGACGGAACAGGTGGTGATGTACTTGCCGGGGTTCCACCGCTGTGCCCTCCAAGTGAGGATTACCTAGAACCAGGCGTAGAGGACGATGACAGCGGATCTGGGGGTGGGTACACGGGTGCCGCCGCCACCGTAGTAGACAGCGGAGGCGGGGGTATAGCCCCTCGCCCTTGGAGTAGAGAAGGCGGAGGGGGAGGAGACATGGAGCCAGCCGTCACCTAGACGTGTTCAGAGTACAAGGAAAGTGAAGAGGCACGGGAAGGCGACATGTCATGGTTATCCCGTGGCGCGACAAAAACGGCCTCCAATGTTGGCTCCTCGTGAGGGTTTCATGGTAATTGGCCTTTCATTCATGTACGGGCGTGCTACCCCCCAAACACCGCCTTTTTATCCATTGCGGCGCCAACCGTTCGAAATCAACAGATGGTCGATTTCATCATGTCCATCACAAATGCGAAACAAAACACGCTGCTCCCGCCACCACCACCACCACCGACGCAAGTAACATCAAAACGCCCGCGGCAGCAGCAGCCGCGCCATGAACAACACCAGAAACGTTTGGAGGACTGCGATATCCTGTTTTGTTCCCATCCTTTCTAAGAGTCGACGCGCATGTTGATTGACTTTCCTACGAGAGGTCGACTTCCAACGATGCGCCATGTGGAAACTGGTTGTGGGTACAGGCGGAGTCTCGTGGCCGTGGACGATACTGTAGAGGGCGAAAAATACCGTGTCGCATTATGTTTTGATCATAGTTTTTTGTATCGCGTCACGGAACGTGTCCACATACTGTACAGGGGGAATATGCACACCCCGCGCCCAACGATAGCGCCTGCCGTACCCGCGCGTAACCCTACCCCCCCAAAAAAATACGGCGTGAGCTGGGGTTCCCGGCTAGCGGCAAGCGTTTCTTGCCGCTGGTGTCCTCTATCTAGCTACAGGTACTTCTGCCCTCCTACTATCCTCTCACCTGCCCTGAAAGTGCATCCAGCACGCCATCATGCTGTCCACCCGCGTCTGGAGAACACCCATCGCCATCCTCTCCACCCACTTCTACAAGCATAGGATCCTCCACTTTTCGATCCTCCTGCACGATACCACAAAAGCAACCGTGGTCGCGGCGGTGCAAGACGAGAGGTGCCAGACTAGACGCAAGTACGTGTTGCCGCGCCAAAACAACAAAGAAACCAAAGAGAAAGCATGCGTTCATGAACAACAAACCTACAGCAGCAGCACTTGTAGTCTAGCTATGCCAGGTGGAGTTCATGAAAAATCCGATCTCGAGAGCCTAGCAAACGCAAACCTTGTTTTGTATCTGTACAGCCCTTGTTTAGACTGCTGTTGTTGGTCCTCCTCGTAAACCAGCACAACTTGCGTGTGGGGCACTGATACGGAGCGATAGCACCCCCAAAGAACTGCCCACCTGCACCATGTGGCCACCATGCTACGCACTAGAGCAAGCATTCTCGAATGGAGTGCTGCTTGCTGCTGCTGCTGCTGCTGCCGTGTAGACGGACTACATGTCCTGCTCTGTACTCTACTAATGCGGTACTGGTACTTGTAAATCTGAAGGACCACCTCGCGGACCGATGCCAAAAAAAACAAAAACCAGCTTTGCAACAGCAGCGTACCTCGGTGTTGCCACCTTCTTCGCCGACCGCAGAAGGGTGCTGCCACGTAGGTTGTCGATCGCTCCCACAAGCCGTGAAGGCCTGAGACAAAGCGCGCCCGCCCATTAGGCTACGGGTAGCCCAAGACAAACCGACTGCCTGCTGCTGCCGTTGGTCGTCCACATCAACAGGAGAGCTGTCGGAATCTGCCTCATGATAATCATGATCACAACCAGCCTCCGACCGATATTGAGCGGCTCGCGCTAACCCCGCGTTGAAGCGGTCAACGTCCGCGACACCAACGCTCCGCTTGCTGCCATTCTCAGCAGCTGCCTCGCCTTGTACGGGCGGCAGCAGCCTCGCCCCCGTCTGGGCTCCGGAAAGCAGGCCGACGCGCTGGCTCCTTCCCGTTGCGCAATTTTCGGCCGTGGCCGTCTCCAGCATGTCATCTGCCATGCTATGCGTGCTCGCCGTATGTGATCGTGTGTGTCTCGACAGTCGGAGAGAGAGCAACTATTATAGCGCTGTGTGGTTGCCAGCCAAGTAGGTGGAGCGTTGCCGAAGCCTTCCATGCGTTGAGACTCCAAAACAGATTTTCTGGACACGGACAAAAAAAGTCCTTGGGGACTTTCGCCGCGATACAGATTTTTCGGTAATTCAAAATCGCCGTTCACCGGCTTCCGGGCCTCTTGGCCAATCAGAGCCCAATTTTGATTTTTGATTTCCTGGAAACAGATTTTTCCGATTCCGATAAGACAGGCTCAAAGAGGCGGTTATAGACGCTCCGAATCTGCGGAGCTCCTATAGCCCCCACCCCGCTCCACGATACCCGAACCCACCCGTGCCGCTTGGCTGGCTTGCCAGCTTGCTGCAGCAGCACAGGAGCAGCTAGCAGCCCTGCTACAACCAGGATATGGTGCGAGCTTGGCCAAGGAGATCCGGCGACGAGTTTCGCCGCTTCTGTGCCTACCGCAACTGCCATTCATGTTGGCGGGAGCTTGCATATTGAGGAGACGACGGGGTACAGGAGGAGGCGTAGAGCAGTAGCAGCATGGCGATGGGAACGCCGACGAAGTTTCTGATCGGGCTAATGCTGCTCGTCAACGCCCTGGTGCTGATCAACATAAGACGAGCTAGCCCGGATTTGCCTCGAGGTGCGTGCAGTCGAGACTTGGCTGAAGTCTGCGGTACTGCTGCGTGCTTGCTGCAGGGCGGGTAGACAACGATGTGTTGGAGACACCACGATGCGGACTTTCTCCGTCCCATGCAGCGTATCGTCTGCTGCCGCAGTAATTACAAAGAGAGCTAGACTCGCGCACACAGCGGGTACCAACTGCTGCCTTTTGGACGTGGAGGGAAGTTTACAGGGCTGCCAACTCTGCCAGTGTAGACACAGGCTTGTTCATGCTTCTCGCCAATGCAGCACAGGCTATGCATTTTTCTAAGGAACGAAGACCCCGCGATCTTAAGCCGGGTGTAGCAGATCTGTCCGTTTTACAATTCCTCTCTCAAGATAAGGTGTTGCAGTACCTTAATCCCTATATACCATAAGGCCGCAAGGTGCAGGGTAGATATACCGCCCCCCAAGATCTAGCAGTAGCAATGGTCCGTGTATACTATTAAGGCCACAAGGTACAGGGTACCTCTCCCAAGATATTGCAGTACAAGCAGTGGTCATCTGTACCATGAGGCCTCGTGGTGCAGGGTGCCCTGCACTATCCAGAGCACGCGCCAGCTCAAGCACTCCGTTCCGTCTGTGTCACGCGATTTCACGGGCCTCATCATACGGGACGTCCGGCCAGCAGATGTTCGCGGCGTTTTTGCAGAGGCCGCCACATGTACAACACTGCTTTCTATTCTCCTAAGAGCACACACCTGGAAACCTACCCGGCAGAAGAGATGCGACGCTCGCAGCGTATCGTAAGGTTGCGGGTCAGTGCACAGGGACAGGGGGTGCGATCGATTCTCGAAGCGGAATTTCTCCACAAGCAGGAGGGTGCGAGCGCCAACTGATACTTCTCAGGAAAGCTCTTGATGTGAGATACTTTCACAACCGCCCTTTTTCGACAGCGGTAACCTCCTGGTTGCGGAGAAATTACGCCTTGAAAATCGTTCGCACCCCTGTCCCCGTGCTCTAGCCGACTCGCAACCTTGCGGTACGCTGGACCCGACGCCCTCCTTACCGACCCCATGCTCGTGGTACACGTCCAGGGCACTCACGCCAAGGAAGCGCCCACAACGGCATGACACAACTTCGGCCACCATGAAAGGCTAGATCTTCATCGGGGAGCGGCTCACGGTCGCGAACCTAAAACTCGTCGAGATGCAGCCGTTGCTGCGGGAAAAGCCGCGTTCCCGCAGCAACGATTGCATCTCGACGAGCCTTAGGTTCGCGACTACCATGGGTAGCTCGCCGCTCAAGATGGAGCCGTTCACGGTGGCTGGGTTGTTGCCATGCCCCTATGGATTGATTCCTTGGCGCGAGCGCCCTGGACCTGCATCCTGTCTGGACGTGCTGCAACGAGCCTGCATATCGACGAGCGAGCGGGCCGCTCGCCGTATCAGAATCCAGCCTTTCATGGTGGCAACGGTGCCACGGTTGCACCGCTCTGCTATGGATTTCGGGTGCTGCGGGGGTTGTGGACGTGCACGATGGACATGGGCGGTAACAACCCGAGACAAGCCCTCCTTTCGTGCGATAACTGCAGCTGTGGTGTTGTACTTGCTCGACGGGCACTCGCGTGGACGTGCTGCGGTACGCGCACCTGGGGGCGGGTCTCCCGCCGGTGCTCCAGTACCCTTCGCAGGAGTTTTTCTATTGAGTAGTCCATGCATGTTGGATAGCGCATGCAATCTCCGGGGAAGTTGGGTTACGTATGGGGGATATAGGGTCTGCGTACCCCCTTCCTGTTCTTTTTCCTTACTGACAAAAAATATATATATATCGGGAAGACGGTCCCGGTGTTTCGCCCTCCCTCTGCCGGTCAACCCCGACGTCGCTGCCTGCCGCTCGCGATCGGGGCCCTACCATTGGAACACCTCGCCCTCCCCCCACCCGGACCAAAAATGTCTTCCGTCTGCTCCGCTGACACGTGGGGACGAACCTGGCGGTTCGCACTGCGTCTAAGCCAACGCCTCGGCAGTGTCGGCGGCGGGCACTTGCTCCCCCGCTGCGGCACAGCGGCGCGGCGCTGCCGACCCCGAGGGGGGCATCCGTGGTGTGAAGGCAATCGAGTTTCCAAAGGTCGGTGCCCCTGGGGCGAGGGAAGAGGGAGAAGGGGAACGCTGCCAGTCTCTTCGTGGAGATGAGAGCCGTCAGGCTAGCTAGCTTCCGGAGACAACGCAGAGGACACTTGCAACCGCGGGTCGCTATCTCTTAAGAAAGGTTGCACGCACTTTCGCTCTCGGCCGCTCACGATAAGGCCACCGATGTTTGTGCTGAAGTACCGAACTTCACCTCGTTTCTCCATTCCGCATATCCGTAGGTGACGCAAGATAACACACGCCCCGGACCGATGTTCAAAGCTCGATACTCCAAAGCAGAAACAGCGGCGGCATTGGAACAGTCTCGTCGAGAGCTTTCCGAAAGCGTGTCACATGATTTGTGTATCCTCTTCGCCGTGGAGTAATCGAGCTTTGAAAATCGGTCCATGGGATGTTTATTCTTGTGGCCCGCTCGATAAATGCAGCGAGTCATGATGCACACATGCGGTAGCTGGTTCCCCTCTTGGAGCCCCTAGCCTCCCGCATGTGTGTTGCTGTGTGTTCGACAAATCCCGAGCCGCCCCGACAAATCGCACAGCCCTTCGCACCATCTTCTACCCCTTCCCGCCGCCCACTGCCAGCGGTTTGGAGACACAATTAATGACAATAACAGTATATCCAGTTGCACACCAGGTTCATGACTCAACCGACCCTCGTCGCTATTGGAGGAAAATAAATCGCCCACCAGAACGCGTAGGATGATACCATAACGGCAAGCGAAGCCACCTACCGCCGATAACCCCCTTCCCCTCTACCTTGCGCCGGTCCCCTAAACCTACTTGTGTTGAATCATTTCTTGCCCAGCCATGGGAGGGGTGTTCCGGGGTCAAACGCAAAGGAGAATCACGCCGGACGCTGGGCGGGGGGACCCCTCGCAGCAGACGGCGGCAGCGAGCACAGCGACAGCCACGTCGGCGGTAGACGTAGCACGACCACCGAACTCGCAGCAGCAGCAGCAGCAGCAGCAGGTTTCGTCCCCGAACACTGATACCGCCGCCGCTGCCTCCGCCGCCCCTGCCGCCATGGGATCTACAGTTGCTGTCGGGGCAGAGGGCATGCAGGGTGGCGACAGCCGAGAAAGAATAGGAGAAGAGAACCGCCCCGGTGGGTCTGGCGGGGAACCCGCGGATCGAGAAGGCGCATCTTCGGCGGGGGGGAGGGGGGGGTTGAGAGCGGGCTCTGCTCAGCCGGCAGCGGCTGGGGGGATATGGACAGCGAAAGAGGTACCACCTCCGCCTCCTTCTGGAGAGGAGGGAGTTCCGCGGAGCGGGGTAGGCGGCGGGGACCCGGGGGTGCTCGAAGTTGAGGTGGGGNCCTGGTGGTGCAGGCGGCGCGGCGGGAGAAACAGACGGAGGAGTGCAAGGGCATGGCGAAGTCGCTCAGGATCGTACCGAACAAGAGCTGGGGCAAGGCCACCAAGCCCCAGCAGCAGCAGTGGGACCTTCTGGGCTGCAACGGCTTGATAGAGACCGAGGCGCGGGGGGGTCAAGGGGGGGGTCTGAAGCTGCCGGACTGCACTGCGAGGTGAGCGGTGGTGCCGACAGCGGCGAGGAGAAAGACAGACGCCGTGTAGTTGGGAGTGGATGGCGGGGGAGGGGGTTGTACTAATGTTTTGCATGCGTTAGTTGTTAGGCCATTGACTCGGATTCCTACGAAGCCGGACCAGGCTAGCACACGACCAAGCGCGAAGCGACGTGATGTAGGGGGCTGTATTCATGCTTTACATCCCGCAGTTGTTTGACCGCGCGTCCCCGAGAGGACGGAACATTGTGCCCACAGGACCGATGGCCAATCGGGCAGGGGTGGGAGGGCGAGATAACGTTGGAGGATATGGTAGTAGGAGGATGGTAGAGTGACGGTGGTGTGGATGGGAAAACGCTGGCCTTGGAGGGTGGGCTAGACGGGAACGAGTCGAATGAGACGCGCGAACGTGAGGAAAACCCGAGGTCTGTGCCGAGCTTTACACCAGTACACCAACTTTGACCTTTTCCCTTCTTCCCCGCCGTCACACCGACAACAACAACAACAACAACAACAACCAAAACAACAACAGGCCGTCAGCCAAGAGCGATCCGCTCATCGCCGTGTGTGCCGGAAGCACCACGCGCGGGGTGCCCTCCCCGGACGAGCACTCTCTCGCCCTCTTCCGTTTCCTGCTACCCTCGCTGGCGCGGACGGCGGACTGCGGGTTCCGGTACCTGGCGGTCGTGGGTTACGACGTTGGCGACGGTTTCTTCGACGGGGCCACTGGAAAGGCCAAGGTGGGCGCGCCACGGTACGGTAGACGCTGATGGAGGCACGGCTTCTTTTATCCACGGCGATGCAAATAAAGCTGCAACCGTGGAATATAATATCAAGTTGGTCGGTGATGGTACGAAAAGAGAGATACCTACCCCACTTTCTGGGGTAGTTTTTTTTTTTTTTTGGTAGGGCCAAGTGGTGGATTATCGGGGGATGTGCGCGTTTTGGGTGTGAGAAAGATGTGTTTTTGTTTTGTGGACCTCGTGTGCGTGTGTGTGTGTGTGTGTGTGTTTGTTGTCGCTCATTTGCCTTTGCTATTCAATTTTTCGTCGAAGGGCGGACGCTTGTGTGTTTGGGTGAAAATTCTCTCTGAGCGTGGCGATGCTCTTGAGCTCCGTCCCTGCACGCTGTTTTCGTCCACGCTACGTGCGTTTTTTGGTGTGCTCTGACCCCTGGATGTGTACTGGAATACTTCATTTTCTCCCTGTCTACCCGTCTACCCCTCGGTTGCTAGCGCCCGCGACGCGTCCCCCCCCCAAGCCGTCTCCCTTCATTTCCCGTTTCCCCCACCTAAATCTCGTCATTCGCTTGTTGCTGCTCCCTTTCCCTGCCTCCCTCCCTCCCTCGCTCCCTCTTCCTTACTCTTACTTCCTTTTCGTCATCCCTCGGCTGCAAATCCCCCCCAAGACACTCGCGTGGTTCGAAACGGAGGTGGCCAGACCGGCGGCGCTGCGAGGCCTGAGCATAGAGCTGGATCTGGTCAGGGTCGAGAACGCCATCAAGAAGCCCGGCCCTGTGTTCACGGCGGTGACAAAGGTGCGGGGGCGGGGCGGACCACCTCGTTTTTTTTTAATGAGTGTGGTACTTATATCTTGCCGTTGCCACACGATACAGGAGAAAAAAAAAAGGACGGTGGCGCGGGGAAACATTCAATTGTCGGGGCCGTTCTGTCTGTCTCGCTCGCCTGGATTTGCTCAAGTGGCCCCCTGTAGCGTTCACAGGTACGACCCGCCCCCCCCCCCTCCCCCCGGTGATATCTAACGTTTCCGCTTGTTAAAAATCTATCACCGCGACTATCGTCATTTTGTGTGTGTGGGGGGGTGTACTCATAGTCGTTCATGCCGTAGTCGTTAGACCATTGACCTCGCATCCCTACAAAGCCGGGACGGAGCACGCCGGGTTCTCACCGGACCAGGCTCTCACATCACCAAGCGCGAAGCGCCGTGAGATATTCGGCGAGTCGCATGAAGGGTGCGCTGCATCCTGCTAAGGGTGTTCGGCATCTTGTGCTTACTTCCTTGCGTACGGATGACAGCTGCGTATGACTTAATTTATTTTCTGGTGCTTTCACTTCCAGAGACAGTTGTAAGCACTGTGTAACTGCCTCGAGGGTGCTTGACCATTTTAACACAACGTGGTGCGATCATCCCCCTTGCGCGGAGCGAGGGTTCTCCACCCCGCACAACATGATCTACTCGACCACCATTATGGTTACCGCCAAAATATAAAAGAGGCAAAAAAAAATGGTAACCTGGATGCCGAGTTCACGGTGTGAATTGGCTTGTTTACAAGGTCGTTGCCAAGCGACGAAAACCCAACCCCGATGGCAAACACCGGGGGAGAGAAGTGGGGGGGGGGGAAGAGAGGGAGGCGCCTTATGTCGTACCATTGAACGTAATTGCTTTTTCAGTGTTGTTAGGTTTACCCGTGGTCGTAGTGCCGCCGGGTGTGGTATGTTGTGTGGTACCATGGCATACCGTAGTCCTCCCCTTCTCCTGCGGTGCCCCCGAGTGCTTCGATCGATCGAAATCGTCTCCGTGTTTTTTTACTGACGTCATGATTTTTCTTTAACGCGACTGTTGCATAGAGCCATCGTGACGCTTTTCTTTTGGCTGTACATGCGCGCGTGCTGCGCACTCCCGGCGCGGTTCGACCAGCTGTGTACCTGCAGGGTGGAGTATTATCTGATAATCTGCTCGTTGTTGTTCGATTGCCCATGTCCAGGCGGATCGTTTGATTTCCGGGGAACGCCGTTCTTTCCTTCCCGTTGGAAGTCGCCCAGAAAAGGAAAGTCAAGTCAGCTTCTCTCCTCCGTGCCCGCCTCACGCCTTCCCATAACCCTTCCGTCGTGTGAAAAACAATCAAGGCCATACGTGCAAACCCTCCCTCCCCGTGTGTGTGCAAATATCCCCGTCATGAGTCGTGCCGGCACCTATGTACGTGCGATACCTCATCGAACCGACCGCACTTTTTTTTTTTTTTTATCGGTCTTCAGGCGGCGTACGATCGTGGTGCGAACTACATCTATCGCGTCAACGACGACTCGGAGATGCACACGCCTTGGGCTCGGTCCTTCGTCAACGCTCTGGAGGTAGGTGTGACACACTAGGGGCGTCGTCCCGTAAATGTTCCGCAGCTCAAACTATCGTCGTTGTAAGGCGTCGTACTGGATATGTACCGCTGCTCAACCGTTGTCCACGCCGGGTAGCCGCACGGCCTATGTGAAGGCTACAGCAGCAGTCGTCCGACTCCCGCTATTTTTGATCACGAGGTTTGGGACACTTGTCGTTGTGAAGACTCCGCTTCTTTCATGAGCATGGAGCCCCGCAGAATGTAAAAGAGTAGCAGGTGCGACTTTTCCGTTTGTGCGGCTGGTTCCGTGTTTTTTGTTTTTTTGCATCTGGCTCAAATGTGGGTGTCTCTTGGTCTTTTGCAGGGACATAGACAAGAGTGCAGATAGACATCGAAAACGGAGAAATGCAGATAGAGATACGCACAATTATTCCATGGTACAAGGAGAAGCTGCACTAGAAGCTGCACAAGTGCAAAGAAGAAGAAATAGCTGTAGACAAAAGTATCCATTGTATTGGTACGTGTGGTTTGGGTTACAGAATCCGGCGAATTGTGGGGTGCAGGTAGACGACAGCTTAGGCAGATGATGCAGCGAACGCGGATTGGCAGGCAAAAAAGACACATGTCGGGAGATGGAGAATTGCGTCATTAGTGGTAGAATTTACGCGTGTATCGCTGGCAGAGATTTGTTTGCGCGTAAGGTTCTTCGCACACGCGCGGAACCATGGTTTGATAATTGTTTCTGCTTGTGTTGTTGTTGCTGTTGCTGCTGCTGCGCCGCTACTGCTGGCGTTGTTGCCTCCACCTTTGCAAGGATTATGACCTCTATCCAGTACTGTGCCATGTCTCCCGTGCCCTTCGAGGATAAAAACAACGATTTTTTATTGGGACGGGTCACAGGGTATGACAAACCATGTCGTCACCCAAGAAGTATGTGCTTATCTCTGTCCTGAAACTAGGAACCCGTCTTTTTCACAGCACCGGCGAACTCCGCTCCATCCTCCTCTCCACGCTGCACCCCCATCTCTCTCCCCCCCCCACTTTTCTGCAGGCGATGGGGCCCCCGTACGGCGTGGTCGGCCCTGAGTCTTTAAACAATAACATTCTGGTGCACGACTTCACGCATCGGCTGCACATGGACATCTTCGGTCAGCAGTACTACCCTCCCTCCCTCACTGACTGGTCAGTTTTTTTGTTGAGCTAGATTGTAAAATCAGCGCCTCTTTTCCGTTTGCGTCAATAAGGGGAGGAGGGGGNGGGGGGGGGGGGGGGGGGGGGGGGGGGGGGGGGGGGGGGGGGGGGGGGGGGGGGGGGGGGGGGGGGGGTGCGTGTGCCTTGTTGGGGTTCATGTTTGCGGTGCGCACCACTGGGAGGAAGAGCACCAGCCTCCCGTTTCGGCGGTAAAGCCCCCTGAATCAATCACTTACGCAAGATCTATTTTCCTACGCTAGACCGGTGTGAGGGTTGTATGTTCGTACATGCGTACGTGTGGTTCGAAGCAGCGCCGCAGGAGGAGAAGGCGGGAGTGTTGATTTTCACTCTGTGTGACCCCGGGCCGGCGCGGCAAACACATTCCACTCTGTTCGGAAATATACGGTAGGTGACCCAAGATACCACCCCCCTGAAATTGTCTGCAAAGCTCGATTTCTCCACAACAGAATGACTGACGGCGCCGAAAACGTCGGCGTTAAGCTGTCTCGTCGAGAGCTCCCCGACGACGTGTAGTTTCATGTACGCATCCTCTTCGTCGTGGAGTAATCGAGCTTTGACAATCGGTCCAGGGAGTTTGGCATATTGCGTCACCTACGGAAAGGACCATTCGCATACAACTGTGATTTTCCCAATCGTTCTTTAACTATGTTTCCGAACAGAAGCGGCACCATAGTACTTGAAGGGTGCGGGTTCTGAAGGAGACCGACGCGAGCCCAGAGTCCGGCTGCCCATCCTCCCCTGTTCTTGCACAAGAACGGATACGCGTGGTCTTGTAGTCCCCCCCCCGCCTATCGCCCTGTTACCCAAGAGTTATCCGTCCCGGCTTCATCGGGATGAGAGGTCAATGGTCTAACGAAGACTACGGCATGCACGGCTATGAGTACCAACACGTGTCGCCCTCCTCCTGGTGCCGAACGTTCAAGCTCTTTCCGGCCAGCTTCTCCGTAACCACAACGGGGGACGTACTACCAAAACACAGTTGCGGCTTATCTATCCGGTTTGACTAACGGGGCGCTTGCATGTAGCACACGTGTCCCCTCAAATGAACCCCGAACCCGCCTCTCGCTTCCTTCTGCCCGATGTGACCGCCATGTCTCTGGCCGACCGCACTTGATGCTGCTGCTGGGCTGCAGGTATGTGGACGACTGGATTTCCCGCGTCTACGGCAACTCTCGCACTATACGGGCAAAGAACTGCAGGGTGAGACGTGGGGGAGGGCGTACTCTTATGTTTTGCATGCCTTAGCGGTTAGGCCATTGACCAAGCGTCCTCGAGAGGACGGAGCATTGTTCCCACAGGACCGATCACCGATGGCCAATCGTTCCTTCCTACTTTGCCGAAGGTGGCTCAAAATTGTCTTTCCGAGACGGGTGGAGGGGTAGATGCCGGCGGCGAGGTGACTACAGGGTGAGGCTGTTATCGACCACGCTCGTTTTGCTCCTCACGTTCCACCGCAGGCACCGGCACTTGTCTGCTCGCACGCCGCAGCGCTTCCCTTGCAAGCCCCTTGCCCAACGAGCGCACAACCAAGCCCCCCTCCGGTCTGTTTCTCTCGAACAAACTTGAACACAAGGTGGAGCACCACACGGGGGCCCACGGGCAGCGGTACAAGGCGGACACGAGCAAGGCGAGCAGCGTGGACGGCCTCGTCCTGGTCGGCGCCAGGAAGATCTCGGCCTGGGCCAGCGGGAACGGGGCGGAGACCGCGGCGCGGGAGATACTGTCGGAGAAGCTGGACGGGAAGTCGGCAACAAAGGCTTGGGCTCGAGAAATACCTTAACTTGTACAACACTAATCAAAAACTCCGGTGTGTTGATCTTGTTCGGAAATTCTACCCAGAATTTGCGAAAAGTTGATGATTTTTTAAAAGAAATTCTACACAGAAAAGACTACCCGTTTGAGATGTAGCACAGTAGGGCCGCAGCGCTTGAACGGGGTGTGTGCGTTGAATGAAGTCTTTGCAGTGAGTGGGGGAGGAAGATGTCGGGGGGGGGGGTTCTTGCGGAAAGCGGCATGTGTGCAGAAGTGTGCATAGATACCACGACCACCATTGTATGTTGTTTTTTGGGAACGCTCGCGGACGAGACGACGGCCTTTGGGGCTGTAACCGGCATGGTGTATGTAGGGGCCACGAGAGGAGCGACGACCACGCACACTTCCGTATTGCCTGCGGTTCTGCGACAATATCGGCTGAGCTTGGCTCCTCCGTTTCCAAGGTTTGTCGTCGGAGAGAGGGCGGGCGAGGCAGTGTCGTGGGAGTACGGTCCGCCGTCGGCAGGTCGGGGTATTGAGCGTTCGGCTCGAAAGCTCCTGTGCCAAAAGTTATGGATAACACGAACCTTGGCCTAGGAGGAGAGTGGAGACGTTCTTTTTCGCCTTCTTCGCCGCCTGGAAAGAAACAACTCCCGGGATGATGGATGGGTCGTGTCTCTGGAGACTTGTTTTGCGCTGGACTTGGTTAAAATATGGAAGGACTAGGTCGCCTCTCGTCCTCCAGCAGAGGCTTGTCACGAAACAGACACTCGACTGTTGAACCGAATTCGATTGGCGCAGGCTAAACCAGGTCGTTCCTTGTAGAATATGAAGGCAGGGCGTGCTGTTGTGTGCGTGTGAGTGTTTTTTCGTTGGCCGGTATGGACTGCGCCCGCTGCCTGACCAATTAGTAGATGCCAGTCTCAAGTGTGTGAGCGTGCCCTCTCGAAGCTTGTCGGGGTTCTCCCAAAGTTTTGCGTTATTTTGTTGTGTCGTTGGTCGTTGAGGCCGTGTGTTCTCACCGTCATCGTGTCGTTTACTTGTAACGTCTTTTTCGACGTGGTACATTAATAGGATGAACCGGGAGTGTGTTGTTTTGAGTGAGTGAGAATCGAACACCACCTGCGGGATACGGGACTTAGTTTAGTTGGATCTGGTTACTTCGTGACACCACACACGGATAAGACATTTTTTTTTCGTTCTTCCGTCTGGCGGAAAGGAGGGGAGTAAGGCCAGCCCTCCACGAGCTTTCGAGCTTCTTTCTTTTTGTTCTTGCAAACCCATCTCTTTCCATAGATGGTGAAAGTGCCCGTGTTGTTTGTGATATGGTGGCTTGTTCATTTGCTGCGCAGCTCGTCGCGGAACGCACGGTGTACAGTACAATAGAGCGCTGTTTGTTTTGACGGTGATGGCTCGTTATTTGCTTTATTTTCGAAGAAGAAATACTTCTTCAAAACACGACAGCACGCCCTGCTGGTGCCGTCGCAACGCGCAAGCAAATACATGCGTGGCCTTGGTAGCGAGCAAATGGGGAGAATGGGGTACATCATGCTGCGCAGTCCCCTGCATCTAGGATAAGGATGCATGGCCCCCTCGGGGGGAAACCGGTTAGTGCGGTCTTGCAACCAAGGAACCAATGGGACACTCTCCAGACCCATCAACTGTTGTGTTGTAGAGTGTTCGTGGCCTCTGTCCGCAGCGCGTTTTGTTTCGGTACATAACGAGTGTTTCGCTGTCTTCCCCCTGTCCGGCAGGGGGAAGGCCGAGGGCACGTGTAGTGTAATGGGGACCGAAATATCGTTCTTGCTCCCCCTCTCTCTCGCTTCTACAAATAGACATACATGCCATAAACTTGTACAATCAACAAGGTAGGACAGGACTCAGGGGAAATACCCGTTGCACATGGCAACCAAAAAACACTCCAAATACCTGAGCCTGCCCCCCCCACAGACAGTCAAGAGCAATGCTTTCTTTGTTTCTCTCCGCCACTATCTCTTTTGCTGCTGCAGCGCTCTACTTCTCCCCACCATTGTCTCTCCTATGCAGTGCTCGTTCAAATGCAGGGGGGCAATCATTCCGAATACAATCATATACCGTGCCAACACACACCGAACCAACCGTGAGCAAGTTCCATCATACAAGATATATATATGCGAAACCATGCCTTCCATTTTCCGTTTATTTTACTCGTGCCAGACCACACCACAGCACAGCAAGCAAGCGTACCACCCCAAAACCACACCAAGCCATATGCCATTATGTACCACAGCACCACCCCACTGGCTTCAGCGACGCGGTAGAAAAACATGCCCGACGTCGAAACTAACAAAAGAAAACATCTCCCCCCACTCCTCCTATATGATTGTAATGTGCTGATTACGACGATATACGGAGTCCCCCTTTTTTTGTCCTCCTCTACACACACCACACAAGGTTACACGTGGTGCTTCGGGACCAAACCTCCAAGCCCGCGCGGCGGCAAAAATAACCGCCGGGGACGGGCCCAATTTTACACGCCAGGCGAAGCGACACCCCCACCACCACTAACAGTACCACCGAAGGAAACACCAAGAAGGCCTCGTGGGAAGCCCACGCGGGGAGCGCAAACCCAATCCCCCCTGCCTCACTTCCAAGTCGTGACGGCCCGTGCCGGTACGTGGGGCTTTCCTCTACACGTGTACGAAACGAAACAAGGGAAGGAAGAAGAAGACGACGACGACGACGACACACGAAGAGATAATAAACCGACAACAGCTGTCTAAAAAGAAACAGGCCGATGCGATGCCCCACGCGCACCCCCGGTAACCAATCACGCAAAATTACGCCAATATTGCACGCATAGAGATGACATGTATGGAATGCACACACCCCACACGCAGACGATGCGCGCCAACGCACAGAACACATGTTGGCTCGAGGGCCCGCCAAAAGTTTGACAAGCGGCGGGCGGTGCCGGTTCAAGAAACCGCGAAAGCAGGAGTGCGAGGACAAAAAAACAAAAAAAAAAGCTACAAAAACGCGCACCGCACCAAAAACCGCACCGTATAATACCATCCAATACAAAAATAAAAACAGCAAACACGGCGTAGAAAACAAAAGAAAAAGCAAAGCGTAGAGACATCAACATTGGCAACAGCCATGTGTGTGGATGGTCTCCCGCTTTTATTGCCTGTCCTTTCCGAGCGAGACTTGCCCGTCTGCCCCC